CTTGCTTTAGTGTTAGCGTGAGACTCTTACAAGAATGAAACCCAGCTCTGATGATGTCCATCATATGATGAACGGAAGTTCAGCACGTTTTCACCAGAAACGAGGCAGGAAGTCTCGCGGACTGCATCAACATGAATATCGTATAAAAGCCAAACGACTGCAGTACAACGAGTTTTATTCGTCCTTATCTGGTGAGATCGACCAACGAACCTCTTCCTCATTCACTTTTATTTGAAATGAAGGTCCCTTAACAATGTTATCCCAGGAGATTAATCGAAACCAAGTTTCTCTTCGTATCTATAATAAATTTCACTTCGCTTTTTTATGTCAATAGTAATTCTCTTCCTGCTTGTACTACAGTTCCCGCCTTGCCTCACTGTCTCTTTGGGTAGTGGGGAAGACGTGCATTTCAAGGCAAGCCAGGCCTCTTTTGTATCACATTTTCATTATAATTTTCATATATTAATAATGGATAGGCTTTGATGCTACCAGTAGATATTTTGAAAGTGTTGAACTCTACACATTTTTAATATTGAGGTTATTTTCTTTTCTTTTAAAAACTACGATAAAGACTGGCTTTATCGTTAGTTTAAAATTGAGGATTTTGGGTATTTTTTACCGTAGTTTGTACATTTAGCTATTGTTCAGCTACACTGAGCTTCCTTTTCTAACACGGTAGGCATCTTGGGATTGGAACAACATTCTTGATGAATAAATGTCGGCATGGATTCTAGAAATTGAAAGTATGAAGACCAAATTGTTGTGGCCCCTATTTTGGTCGTCGTCGCCCTTAGCTATTAGAATTGGTTTGAGTTCGCTTGAGCAATTTGGTCGTGAACACAGAGAGACTTCGAAAAACTTACCTCATCTCTCAGGGTAGCGAGGATTATTTCCAGCATCGGGCCAGTGACTTGGTACATTCTGACGATTATGATGAAATGTCTATTAATGTACCGAGTTAATGGTCTTATATTTAGGTTAGACACGCCAAAAATAGAAGAGGTCGCAGTACAGAGAATGTTCTTCGACGCCTTGGATAGGTTGCAAAATCGAGGTCAGGCTAATTGAAAGGTAGATATTAAGACCAGGATGGTGTAACCTTTGTTATTGTTGCTGTCTCCTCTCAATGTATATAAGTGGGCTGCTCGGGGAAGGCTTGAGAAATAGTGCCCGTAGTAAAACGTATATTGCGACTAGAACCGAGTGAAAACAGTCAACCAGAAAGATCTGAAACGGGTCTATGGCCCATGAGGGAGTTCTGGATAGGAAGTCCAATTCGAATCAGCGATACCGGAAGGAGGGGGGCAAGGTAAATAACATAGGTGATGACGCCAAACTAAATTCGCCAAAACAGAACGCACCTCTTGAGGAGTGGAAGATAAACAAGTCAGAAGTCGTGATAGGACGGGAATGTGATAAGAGGGTAGAGATTAGATAGGCTGGCCAGGACAGAAAGAGGAGTGATAAAACAACTGTTTAGGCAAAAAGTTCGTGAAGGCATTGACTACACATGTCTTCGACAAATTGTAGCTTGGTGCTGAGAACAACAAGACTCACTGATGATGCCGATAACGAGGCCGGCGAAACGTCTGAGAATATACCAAGTTCACATGGTCTGATGCCTGGGACTTCGGAAAGGTAACTTCAACTGACAACCAACCTGACAACGCAACTAAGTTGCTTAAACGAGGTCAGCCCACTTTTAATTGAAAAGTGCTTACGATTCGTTTGAATTCACACATTTGAATACTGTCCTCTTACAAAAGACTAAGAACCAGCATAGTTCAGGCATAAGCGATAGATTGAATGACTATTTCTGTGGCGACTCAATCGACGATACTGTTAACTCCTTTCAAAACAGAATGATGACATCTCGGAATGTTGCTTTCCAGGTAGGTAGCCAAAACCAAACCTCTTGGCGAAAAGATATTTCGCAAACCTCTCTGGGCCATAAATCTTGCCAAATTTTGTCTAACCGTTCTCCGAGCACCTCCTTTTACGATCACGCACAAACACATATGCTTTGTAGACACACACAAATGAATGTGATTGCATCAACTTATGCTGCATAAGGTCATGTGTATGCATAACCATTTACCTGCAAGGCACACTCACAAACACGCCTATACACATGTTCCCACATGCAGATTCTACTTTACCGAGCATAGACATGGCTGTTCTACGGGGCGAGAGCAAGAGGGCAGGAGGAAAATTCGCCCTATTGTGTGGACGAACGTACTGGCTCAGCCGTCACACCTCTTGGATAAAACCAGGAGAGCAGATGTCACAGGGTCAACCTTCCAATCCTGGAACGGTTTCCAAGCGAGTGCAAGTCAGCCATTGGGTCAGGATCTAGCTACTGGGGCAGTGGCCTCGAAGAGACCTGCACCTTATTTGGACGCTAGGATGAACCGTGTTGGAAAGCAGATGCTGAAATGGAGGGAAGAGGAGATGCAAGAAGGTGGGCCGGAAGGAGAAGAAGAGGTGCAGGAGGCGGAGGAGGAGGAGGAAGAATATGATGAGGAGGAAGACGAGGAAGACGAGGAAGATCAAGAACAGGAAGATGGACTAGTGGGGGAAAGAGGCTGGGCAGAGAAAAAGGCGCCTTTAATGCGCCTCCTTCATAACGCCCGAGATGTGGATTTTAGTTCCGCTCAGACCAGAAGCCTCAACTTAGTGGATTCTGACAAAATGAAAACGTCAGTCAAGATTGCATTCAAGGAATCTACCAGGCCTGGGGCCTCCTTTGCCAGCTATTCAACCCTCAGTGATGGCACCTTCGAGTTAAAAACACCACCTTGCAATAAGGTAGCTCAGGATGGGCAGACCGAGGTGTCCGCCTCCGGTGAATTTGATGAGTCTGTCTGGAATTTCGCAAACACCATCACCTGGGATACATCCAGTCAGTTTCTGAGGCACAATCCGGCGTCTGGTCTCCTGCAGCGTAGCAGCACGCAAACAGGTGAGATATTCCAGACATGTGGTTAATTGGCGCCATCCAAGAAAGGCTTATAGGAGGAAATTTTTTTATTTGCTCTTATTTTCAAAAAGTTATGCTGAAAAATTAGATTAAAAGGATGATCATGTCTTTTGACTATTCATGGCTAAGTGGCTTTTGTGAGAATTTGCTAATGAATGGCTTATAGTTCTGACGATGTCTGTACTTTGAGAGACGACAAATCGGCACAAATTCATTGAGATGGTTATCGATGCTTTAGCCGACTAATTTCTTGGCCCGAAACCACAACGATTTGAAGGTAAGATTCACTCGGTTTCTGGTGAGACCAACATGTTAATCTCTTTCTTCCCTAATTTTTATCTCAAATAAACCATTCGAAGACATGCATATATTTATAAAATGCCATTTAATACTTATTTAGAAACAGTGGTCAGGATCATTTCTCTAAATATTCTTGCTGAATGGGTTTCGAGACTATCACTGGATGTTGAACAATAATTCTAGCCATCTTGAGTCATTAAGATGATAAGTGAGTTTCTCACATGAAGGTAAGCAGGTCCCATACACATCCGCAGTCCGGTTCCGGGTCTCTTTGGGGTAGTTAAAGAGACCTGGGTGAGGTAGAACCGCAGTTCAGACTGGGGTAGAAAACCTTTTGGGAGGCAAGATTAAGCGAAATTCAGTGGGATCGGGAGGCCTACTTATTTCGTTCTGGGAAATTTAACTTCATAGATCGCCCTAAGTGATGAACGATATCTAGTATGTATTTATCTTGAACTTAAAGCCAATACCAGATTGGAACGTTAAAGCAACTTGAATTATTTTTAATCTACAGAAGCTCTAGCTGCGCTTGGGGATGTAATTCACGCAGCTTCAACGTGTGATAGTGTGCTCAACAATGTATAATTGCTGATATGAACGGCATCTAACTTGGTTGCAGTCGCCTTTCGTTGTATAGAAGTGGTCGCCTTGCCAGGGGGTCCTAGATAAACGCACCCTGTCCAAAGTTCGTTAGCAATATAGACATAACCTCCAGTGCCCCACCATACCAAGGTGCACCCATCTAGGTCGCCCTGATACTAAAACCAAGTAGCGTAAACGAGGTCAAACCACTTCAAAAATTATTTTGACGACTTTTGTTTCGCATGAAAGTGCACAATTTAAGGATCTGTAAGTCTATCCCATCGGAAGACGATGGCTGATTCCCGTTATTCTGTAGCCGTTTTTCTTTACCTCGGCGTTCAAGTCGACGCAGTCCACAAGAAATCCTCTGCCGTTTCGAGTTAAAACTAGATGGGCTTTCGGGCGTCATGTCAATGAGGGTAATCGTTAGAGCCGGAACTCATTTTTGCAAAAGCTTCAGGTTACTACAACGTAATGAAGACTCACCGTCTCTATCCTGCGTGTTATATATGCTTATAACGCAAAGAGAAAAAAATGGATGGACATAAAATAATTTGAATAGTTCTTCAAAGTAAGTAGATAGTGTGTAGCTGTGGGCATGTACGCGAGCATGTGTTAACATGTGTCGCGTGTAAATCAAGGCACTCACTACTGACTATATCTCAGAGTAATTAGAAACGAGCCTAAGATCATGACCAGTTCGTCAGGGTTTGATGACCCAAGGAAAAGCATGGCCGAGATTGTTTAAGCTCGAAAGCAAATCTGATTGAAAGGATGAGGTTTAGGCCTGTTTTTTACTCATCTTATACGTTTCAAGAGGTCTACTTTACTGAGCAATGTATGGAAAGCCACTTGCGTTTTCGCTATACTCCGCTTTAACCCACTTTAAGGGTACACACAGAACTTGGCTTTAAAGGAATCTTTAGTCGTTTACACTAATGATGTCTGATGAGAGACCGCCTCTCAAGCGAATGAGTTTATTGACCTCATGATTTACAAGCCGTCTGGATTACTGCGATTAGCTCCGTCTGAACTATCTGTGACTCTGCCTTATGAAGGTCTTCTCCATATTGCTTAGATTTCAGGACCGAATTCATTTGCTACCAATGAATGGACTCGTGGAAGTCTTAACACCCTTGAGTGTTTTATTATTTAGGC